GCATTTAACCTAATGAATATACTTTTGAATTTAGTCTGAAATATAGAGAAGCAACAGAATTGTAACTACTTACAGGGAAAAGCAATAATGGTAACAATATCACAGGTTTCAGTGCTACAAGACCAGTGCTTCAAAATTAATTTCGTAGAAGCTCAAGAGGACGATAATGGAGTAAAATTGTAGAAGCTGAAGATTACAAAATAACGACCGACTACAAAAAGATTAATGAAGAATTATAGAGTTTAACCGACTACAAAAAGAGCATGAGGAATAAGTACTTCAAAGTCAATAAATCCTGCTGGAATACTAATTGGAATTTTTGTCCTCACATGAAACAGTGATCTGTGAAGAAAAATCTAAAATGAATAGTAAGCCTCAAACCCTCTCTTTTAAGAGAGTAGGGATTATGTATTCTATGGAAATTATAAAAACTTTGATTTCAATGAAGTCACTCCATCTAATTTAAATATTTAATCTTTTAGAATGACGGAAATCAATGACATAACTGTCAATAAATTATGCATGTTATTTATTTCATTAAAGTAGTACTTATTTTATGTTATCAACTAACGGTTTTGTATGATAACTATCATTTATTGACTATTTCATCAATGATTCGAGTTTGTGAAATTGAATAAAGTTATAATCAAAATCATATTTACAAAACCCGGTCCGGTAGGTTGGATCGGAAAACTGGCAACTAGGGGCCTTGACAGAGCCGAGCAAATTAATTTGATAGAAATGTACGTGACTGGGTCAAAATCGAGCTTTGACTGAGTTGACCGACATTTTAACCGGCCTGATTGATAATTTGATAGGGTTTTGAAATCTTCTTGCAACATTTTTGGGTCCAAGGTTCTTCTAAGGAAAATAACGGGTTTCTTATTACTGGAACACACAGTGATTTAGATTATGTGTAATTACTTGTATCTATTTAATGAATCATTTATAGATTTTCTAAAAATATTTTGTAAAAAACTTACCACTGACCCATCGATTCGACCAATAACCCAAGACAAATACCTTGTCCGGGTCGATGTTTGAGTGGAGTCAAGTCTAATAACTATGATCAAAATAAAGTGTACTTATCCAATTGAAAGTATATTAAAGTGTGGTTATCTAATTCAACAAAATTTAAGTATAGTTATCTGATTGATACTAGAGTGATGGAGTGACGGGTGTGATAATATTTTCGTAAGTTTACTGACAATTCGAAAAACTTAAATTTCAAGGGCAAGTGAAAAATATTTGAGAAACTATAGTGACTACTAGAATATTTAACTTCACTTTCCCGTGTTCACAAAGACGTATTAGAGTTTTTATTTGTATCCTGGTAGGCTGCCGGAAATGCGAGTGATGCTGAAGGTGTTAAGCCGCGGCCTTTCTGTTCACCCCTTTCTAACATTAACTCTTTCTTTGGCATGTTAATCCAAAATCTTTAATTCTTTAATTCCCAAGATCAATTATGTTGAATCATCAAAACAGTAAAATGAAAATTACCTGAATC